GCTGTAGATTCGGAGTGAGAGTGGTATCGATCTTCTTGTCTAACTCTGAGACGGAAAAGCGAATATGCACGTTTCCCAAAATGTTAAACTATTCCTTTAAACTCAAACAAGCTGAAAATTGGAATTGAGCGATTGGAAGCTGACAAAAGCGACAGTAACTGTAATCTTACCTTAAGCCTCACCAAGACCAGTACTGAACTGAGCAGTTACTTACTTGTTAAGTAAGAGAAACAAATGTTGATTCCTCTCCTAAGTTGCAAGGCTACCCAGATTCAGGGTGATAGTTCAGACTTTGATTGAGGTTTGAAGCCACTATCAATTACACTGAATCTGTCCTGTTCATTTCCACAGATACTTCCACAGTAAAGAGAAAAGAAGTGACTGGAGAAATGAAAAGACAAAGTTCATTTGCATTCTGTCTATAAAAAAGACAAAGAAAGCTTAAATAGCTCGTCTGTGGCTAGCTTGGGGTCTGAATTTAGACTGGCCATATGCTCGGGTGAAGCATCACGTCATCGAGGACGCGCTGGCATGGTCATTGTGTGGCAGAATGCTAAGGAGGTGGCAGTGGGACGTGCATGCGTATTCATTTGTTTGTGGATGGTCTGCATACATTACCACCTACGGCTCGTACAGCCACATGTCCACTCCAAGTCACACGCACACACACACACACGGCCGCCTCTTCTTTCACAGCACTCAATAGCCTGAGAAAGCCCTTTGTCGTCCTTCGTTGTCGTGACGACGTGCCTGGGTCGAGTGAATAGAGAGTGGAGGTCTAGCTCTCCCAGTCTGTGGGCATTTTAATCAGCTTGTCACACTGTCTGTGGTCTACACTGGTGCTCTCCTCTGTCCCTTTATAAGGCCAGAGATGCTTCTTAGCATTTTTTTTCTTTTTCTTTTTTTTTTTTTTTAGAAAGCACATCTTCAGTTAAATTATTTCAGTGTCATTTTATGATTCAGGGAGCTCTGGGAGACATCAAGCCGGATTTTCTGCTTTATTATTGAATTACACAGTCCACAATGAAAAAAACATATATGACATATCCAGCCACAAGACCAGTGATAGCGAACCACAGTGTTATTGCTAATATGTCTGGACTGAGGGAAGAAAATCTGCTCTGCTTTCTGCCCATCCTCCAGTTTAATAAGTTTACAGTTATGAAACATGCAGTATGTCTTCTCAAAAGCCCAGAATAAGCCCAAAGAACCCCCCATCTATTCCCCGAGGAACGTACTGCTGGAGGTTTGAGTTTGAAACAAGGATCTGAGAACAAGATTTGTTTTATTCATGAATGAGTTTGCAGCTCGTGACCCCTGGCAAACCTTTGACTCATAACATGCTAAGTGGAGCCAGTCTCACGTCCCCTTCTGTATCACCCCTCTCAACAAATCCTCTCGCCTGTCTCTCCCTCTCTGGCCACCGTGCCTGGTATCTCAGGCGCCTATCTGGATGCCACACATACTCTAAATGTTTAGTCAGGGATTCTTTGCGGCTGTTGTCCCTGTAGGACGGGCGGTGATAAACGTTCCAGCATTATATCATTACAACGTTAGGAAAATATACTCTTGAGGTTAGACCAGACTAAAAGTTGAACATAAATTTTAATTCTCCTCCATTTATGTGCAAGCAAGACCATATTTTTCATTTTTTAAAAAGGAGATAAAACATTTTTAGGACTTATTTATAGAAAATTCCATTCAATGTCTTATTATGTAGGCCTATTGTTAGTGATTTAAGACAACAACAAACATTATGAGGACCCACTGTGCTGTTCAAAGTCCTGTCGTGTTTTTCGCAGCCACTGTTGTTTCTCCTACACATGTGGAACAGGAGGGTGAGGCGAGGGGGTTGTAATCTGCAGCTACACTGCTAGATGCCACTAAATCCTAAACACTGGTCCTTTAAGTTAGCAGGTAACCTCACTTGCTAACATTGCTTACTTGTTAGCACTGATTCCCACTAGATGCTACTTTTCTGTCACGTTACATCAACCCCTGCTGAGTCATTGGCAGCTGCTTTATAGGAAGGAGGTGGTCTAGTTAGCATCCATGGTTCCAGATGTGGTGATGGCAAATGACCAGACTGTCAAAAGTCAGCAACAGGTGTCCCCCTCGCCGCTCGGTGGAGGTGGGACTGAGCAACTGTTAACAACAGGAATCAATTTTAATTTCAGTTTGATTTTAATGACTTCCTGCTGAGCAACTATTTCATTATCAGCAAAGGTTTGGGACACAGCTGCAGCCTGAAGATAAATTAACTTTGGCTTTTCTAATTGGACCTTCCTAAGCCCCGCCCCCTCTTACTCTGTGCTCCAGAGCAAGCCTCAGTCAATTTCTCCTTTCCTTATGTATTTATTTTTCTTATTTGTAAAAGAACTGCAAATCTAAAAATCTAAAAACTTTGTGACTTATGAATTATCTTTTGTTGTATTGTCAAATGTTTTTTAAATAAAGTAAAAAAAATATTCTCTTTCCTAAACTTAGATATGCAAGGACTCTGCCTTGGTACAGGGGGGGCCAGCTCCACCAGGTGAGCTACCAGGGTGCCCCATGTCGCTTTTATCTTTTAACCAGAAACTTGACTGATGTTCTGACCGAGGCTTGGTCAACTGTTATTGGAGCACAGAGAAAAGAGGGGCGGGACATAAGAAGGGCCAATTGTAAGGGAAACTGAGATACATGTTTATGTCTTTATCAGGTTTATGTATTTGCCAATTGGTGCTTGCAGAGTTGGGAGCAGTGACCTGAACTTGCCACCCTACTGGCAGCCAGATGAAAGAGCTGTTGTAGGGTCAGTTCTGCTGAAACACTGACTGCTCTGTCTGCTGAAAAATCAAATATCAGCATGGGCGTCTGCAACCTTTAAGGTGTTTGTGTATGTGCGTCAGCCCTGACATAAATTAACACAACTTTCTATTAAAATGTCTATTAGGATCTATTGTAATGAATATAAAAAAACATAATGGTGAATCTTTCAAAATCCAAAATTGTTGATGTTGATTTAGCATCTATCTGTGGCGGTGAGACAGAGCACCCTTTTATTAATCAGCGTTTGTTTGTCACTGGGGGCTACCTGACTGTTAAACCACAGGAAAAACAACACAACAACACTTGGGCTGAGTACCTCACTGGCATGGCTGTTCACCTCGGTGTGCATGCATGCAAAGGCTGCCTACTTTCATCCCAGACGTGTTTCATCTGCAGCCAGGGCACCCATGCAGACATAATCCCACTGAATCCCTAAAAGGGGACCAGTGACAGGCGTTCCTAATTCACATTTCATTCCAGACCGCACTCAACAGTCCTACTGGGTTTTTGCTCATTGGGTAGCTACTGGTGGGTACTTCCTGGTCCCAGTGTGGTCCTTACACAAAAGTAGAGACGGCTGGTTAAACAGCTTTAAAATTATAATGCTTTCAAGAACATTAACAAAGGCCAGCTGGAAACGGCTACTGAAGCAGAAAGAAATCTATATAAGTGATTGAGCTGCGCGGATAGAGGAACGTGTCATAGGGTATATCTGCTCAAGTGGAATGAACACCTTGTGTAGGAAACACTGTCATACAACACTGACCGGTTTCATTGATCTCAGCTTCTCAAAACAGCCAGGAAAGTGTTATTATTGTTTTAATAAAATGAATAAAAATCAGAGCCAGAGAGCAGCACACTGTCCAATAAGACTAAGAGCTAATGTTAGCATGCCAACATGCTCACAATCACAATGCTAATGTTAGCAGGTACAATGTTTACCATGTTTACTAGTTCCGTGTGCTGAGATAAAATGATTAGTCGATTAATCGATTGGGTGATTGACAGAAAAACAATTGCTTTTGATAATCAATTCAAACCCAGCCCTGTCTGATCACATTTCATGGCCATCCATCCAATAGCTGTGGAGATATTCTAGTCTGGACCAAAGTGGAGACCAAATAAGATGCTATGCTATCCATAGACCCACATCCATGATGATGAATGATTATGTTTTCATTATTGTGTCTAGACGCCAGAAAATAATATGAACTAGATCCAAAATGGTGCACACAAACAATACTATACAAAGTCCACAAATGCAGCATACTACTGACTAAAGGCTGAGTTGAGCCTAAACAAGTGATCTTTGTCCCAACAAAACGCTTGTTGGCAGTGGGGGGTTCATGACACTGTTGAGTTTCTTCGTGTTCAAACAACGGTGACTGTGGACCAATCACAGTTGTTGTGGTCTACTTCGCTCCAATGTGTAGTTACATTTCTGAGGAGGTGCACGTCAGGCTAGCTTCAACACAGAAGTATAAACTAGGCTTTACAAATCTTTAACTTTCAGACCTTCATCTCAATGACAAAATATATTAATTACTAATAAAGCATATGTTATTTGATAATCTGTAAAGCAGACTGTTTCAGGGTTGAGCCATTTCAATAACAAATGACACTAGTATAACAAGGTAACCACAGATTTAGTCAAATATTACAAGAAACCTGGAAGACTGGAAGATACCTCACTGGTGAGTGACCAGTGAATCAGTACATGCAGGGCGGAGGCTAAATGAAGACTACAAAATGCTCCAATCACAATATTTTGATCAATTCCCATTTCCTCTTTCTTTTTTATATTCAAATTGACTCCAGCTCATTTAGCTCCCAAACTGGTGGTTTTGGACTATAGGCAGGTGGGCGTGATATCCTGGCCTTCTGTTAACGGGGCCGTGTGACGGACAGCTTCATTAGAAAGAAAATGGACGCCCCCCGGAGACACGCCTTTGTCCCCCCCCCCCACACAACCACCTCCACCCCACCCCTTAGCTTCCTGGGACTGGGAGAGAGGACAATCTGAGCAGGTCTTTTAGAGTGGGAGGTCTTCAATTGTCAAATGCTTAATAGACTGTGCTCTCTCCATCTTCCTCAGGAACACACACATGAGGGTCGGACGTATGCGCAGTGAACACACACACATACACACACACACACACACACAAAGTACCCATACACATAGACATTACCCCAGTATCTGAATCTCTGGCAGGAAATCAAAGATGATTGATGAGTGGAGCCTGGCTGTGTTGAAGGTCTGAGGTGTGTGATTGTGATCTGGGGACAAAGGATTCATTGCCAAAGGTTAAGCCTACGATAAAACCCTCAGGAAACCGGGGAGAGGATTCTAGATGCCATTAATCACATGAGCTCCCTCTTTTCAGTCGGTTGTCATCGTTTCGTATCAGTCAATGTCATCGGTGCGTTGTGGGAATCAGCTGCAGTAATATTCACTGTGGTAAAACCCACCTGGAAGTCCTGTTGAAGCACACTTAAATATGACGGGAGCCCCACAGACAGCGTGTCCCATTATGAGAAGGCCGCCCTGCCACTGCATCTCCAAGAGGGTGTGTGGCTACAAATCAGCAAATCTAGACAAATGCCAACCAAACTGCTCCAGGAAGCTTTGAGAGGTCTTTGTTCGAGGAGGGGCATGGGCACGGACCCAACACTAATATGGCTAATGGCTTAGGGAACCCCACCGCTTCTTTAATTGAAGCTGGCTCTCCAACGTCCAGCAGGGAGAGAGAGGAGAGAGCGAGATAAGGAACAGCGAAAGGAGAGGAGGGCGAGACTGGGGAGAGGGTTCGGTTTAACTCTGATCTTGAAAAGAAAGGAGGGGCTGTGAGGGGGATGCAGGAGGTCTGTGTGTGTGTATGTGGGTGTGGGGATGTAGCCAATCAGGATTTCCCCTGAGCTCTCAGGACACCTGGGATCATCAATGATTGATCAAACTAGAGGGTTTAACCGAGGGAGAGATGGGTAAAAAAAACAGGGACTGAGAGGGCAAGAAGTACAAAGAAATGTGTTTGTTTGTGTGTGTGTGTGTGTGTGTGTGTGTGTGTGTGTGTGTGTGTGTGTGTGTGTGTGTGTGTGTGTGTGATAATGAGAAAGAAAAAGTGAGAGGGGAAGCAAATTCTAACAAGAGAACAGACAGAAATGGACAGAAAAAACATTGAAATTGACCAAAAAGAAAACAAAAACCACCCTGAACAAAAGACTGCGATTCAGTTCACTGTATCTAAACCTGAGAGAGGCCGCTGTGGAAGCAAACATCCCGATCAAAGCCAAACCGCTGCAGCTCTACAGAGACCCCGCTGCCTGCCCACATGGTTTTGGCTGTGCTCAGACCAGCGAAAGACAAACAGAATCTCAAACCGACACACACAGACTGGAGCTTTATTCTTAGATACACATGCATGCCCTCGCAGTGACACTGTGCATATACTGCCATCTTTAAAGGGACGTTTTCACCACCTATTTTAGATGTTTTTGCCATCGGTCTTATTTGCTATAGCAACAGCTTGTTTGCAGAGACTGTGGACACGGGGACTCAATACACAGCTTGTTTGGTATCCACTGCTGCCATGAGACTGTAACATCAGACAGATTAAAACAAATTCACTCAATTGTCACAAAAGAAGCTAATTCCACAGTTAAAGGACATTTACTTTACTAATTAGTGTCTTTAAGGAGGCAGTGCTCTGATTTCTACTCATCAAAAAGTAGAGCACAACTGCGTATGTAAAACAAAGTTGTGGCTCCTGTGTGAAGTCTGGTAAATTGCCTCAAGTGATGTCACTTGAGTCTGAGTCAGTTGGGGAGGCGGGGTGGCGTTAGAAGGAAGTGAGATCACAAGACCTATGTGGTCCACGCCTCGTCTCTGCTTTAGGCTAGAGACTCAACACTACGTTAGCTGCTACTAGCATAACACAACTGAATCTCCTACCAAACTGGCCGCTGCCGTGTTGCATTGTGGGTAATGTAGGTGCCAGGTGTGGGAATAAACAGAACCCGGCTGTTCTGGATCTGCTGCATCAGTGACAGAGCTTTTGAAACTGTCAATCAAAAGTCTGGCAATGTTATGGCAGAGCAATGCTACACGATCTTCACGTTCTCGTATTTTACTTAAATAGAGTTCTATTTCTTCATGTGGGAAATATTGTGCTTTTTACTCAGCTACATTTATCTGACAGCAATAGTTACCTGTGATTTGCTTACAAAAATAAAATACAATACATTTCAGGTGGCTTGTGACGCCAGTTTATGAGTTGTTCCACCATCATTGCCCCTCTGAACCTCTCAGTTGGTTTCATTTGAAGAACTGTTCGAAAAGTAAAACTCAATATTTCACAAAAACAATACAAAAAATGAATCCAACTTTGTTTAGGCAACCGTTGTTGCCCCAGATTCATCTTGTCACCATTTGAAGGGGGGATGGACCCATAGATTGGGAGCCATTGGACTCAACAGTATATAAAGTATATATGTAATAATTTTGTACTTTTACTTAGTATTTTGAAAGCAGACTTTTACTTGTAATGGAGTATTTTTACAGTGTTGTAGTGCTACTTTTACTTACTATAAAGTACTAACATAAAGGAGCTGAGAACTTCTTCCACTACTGAAGGCGCCTATACTGCAAAGCTTCTTACTCTTCAGTTTGAAATAGCTTTAACCTTCATTCAAATCCTGGTAAACCTGCTGTAAAGCTGACCATTCATCCCTGTTACAAGGATATTGGTACCATTTTCAATGGCATGCCAAAAGTAATTTTCGAATACATTCTGAGCCAGAAAAAAAGACCTTTGAAAGAGTGAAATTGTGTGTGAGTGTGTCAATACAACAAATACAATAAGTCAGACCAGCAAACTGGACCAGGAAGTAGTTCTGCAATGCATGAGCCAACATAATAGGCAACATTAGGTTTCATTTCAAGGTAGAAACAAACTGAATTTGCATTAAAGTTTGTGAAAACCTTGACCTTCATTTGATTCTGGTGTGTTTACTGTTATAAAGGCACATTGTGTACTGGCATAGATTTACCGTTAAAAGTATTTCAATCGCCATGTAACCTGTTCGCCTTATTGTTTCAAAAGCTAAACATGGCTGAATGTTTTTTTCTTGTTTTCTTGGTTGCTGGCTTTCGGATGAAGCAGATTGGCTCCGGGGGCTGCCTGGCATTGTTGCTGAATCCTTGAATAAAGACTTGAATCCACTCCCTATGTCAGGACTGCTGCTTAGAAATGCATTATTAATGAGAACAGTCTGACTGATGCTTGGGATTAATTACAGTAGCCCCCCCGCCCCCCCTTCCCTCAGCACAACCAAACCAACATTATTTTTCTTCGGATTCAAGCTCAGAACTGAACTGTGCAAGTTGTTTGCAGGAGTCTTGACAGCGAGGACACAACAGACGTTACTGCCTGGTTCAATTATTTATACCCCCACACTCTGCAAAGCGTGCCCTTTTGCTTTCTTTCACATTGGACAGAGCAACAGTTGCTGTTGTCACCTGCTTGGTCACACAGAGAGAAGCTAAAAGGCTAAGAGCTTCTGCTTTATTTGCATCCTCTTTAGTCAATGCACTCGCTTACAAGTGCAGCTGGCCAATGCAGCACAACAACACAAACAGCATGGGTTAAAGTCGTTCTAGTGGAATAGTCTTCTTCTATCATGTATTCACGTCCTTCATGCATTTCTGAGTAATAAAACATGCATCATCGTGTCATTTAAGGCAATAAGCTGTCTGAACCTACTGCATGATGCTGTGAATCACGTGCTCATATGAATTTCAGTTCCTCTTCGGACTTTATACAGCTTTATATTTCCCATTCATTTTATTACCTCTTTTATACGCCACACCTTTGGTTATTCTGTGGTTTTACGTGTCATATTTGGTTCACACCTGAAATGTAGACTTTAACAGGCTATAAAGGCAAATTAAAACATAAAGAAAAGAAAAACAATCCATAAACTGACCTGGACTAACAACCGCAAAAAAAACACATCATAACATGTGCCATCTGCACAAAACAAAATGAGATTAATAATGGCCATACAAAAAATTGCTGGTATGATTTGTCAAATAATATTTAATGAAAAGACCAAACAATGAACTGATGTATTATCTGTGTATCCAAAGCCTGATACATGTTGTTCCTCTGAGCCATGGAACTCCATGGATGTCCAAAAACATCTTCAGTAGAAATGACTGGAATTGGGGCCACAGACACACACTCGGTAGGGAAGGCAGGAAGTACTGAGACAGACTAACACCCTTTTTCTAGGATTTGTTTAGAATAAGAAAAAAAACTAAATAATGGCAGCTTTGTCCATTAAGCAAGACGCTATTACCTTTTTCCCCCTAATGCATAATTATTAACCCGCATTCATCTTGCTGTCATACAGCTGACATGATTGCCATACAATTTTTCTCGCTACTCTCGCAAAAACCGACAATAGCTGATGACTGGGTGATCACCATGTGAATGTGGCAGATCCTCCATCCTCTTCATTCATCAGTCTAACACACACACACACACACACGCACAAAAACTCTCATTCTTGCTCACCGTGGGCTGTTGTTGGTTTCAATTAGTGGACCCAACATCTGACACCGGGCCACAGGAGTCTGTATTGATTGGCTGAAGCTATAGAAATGCATGTGTCAAGGGCAACTGGGGTCAAACTGTGGACCCCGGAAGAAGAAAAGACGCATGGAATGACAGGAGGGAGGGACAGAGGGAGGAGAGAGAGGCAGACGGACATGGCCTTTCTAGACATGCCTCTGTAAGAAGAGGGGGAGAGGAAGATCCATTTAGATGGGACACAAAGCCAGGAGGCCACAGTGTGTGTGTGTGTGTGTGTGTGTGTGTGTGTGTGTGTGTGTGTGTGTGTGTGTGTGTGTGGAGGGGGTATATAGGATAACCCACTGTGAAAGCCAGTTGGACATTTCTGTATTCTAGAATCTTAAAAAAAAAGATTTTGGCAAAGATTTAAGTTAGGTTAGTCAAGGGTTAAAGTTAGAGTTTGTTTAGGAGTGTGGATGACTGTAGCCAGCGCAAGAGTGTGTGTGTGTGTGTGTGTGTGTGTGAGTGAGTCTCTGTGTGTGTGTGTGTGTGAGAAAGAGCCTGGTAGGGGGTGAATCAGCAGCTGGACAAACAGACTTGATCCGACTACTGTTCAACTAATGGAGACCACTGAGGGCCTGGAGAACACACACACACACACACACACACACACACACACACACACACACACACACACACACACAC